GTCAATAAAAAATAGGCGAGATAGGTTGGTAGGACACCTTCTCAGGCATGAAGGTCTAGTCAGAGACATATTAGAGGCAGAAACAGGAATTAAGAGGGGTAGAGGTAGACTTAGATTAGATTACTGTTCCCATATAGTTAAAGATGTGGGTTGTTCTAGGTTTAGGGAAATGCGAAGATTAGTTCAGGATAGGAAATAGAGGAGGTACGTGTCCAACCAGTCTTAGGACTGACGACCTTATGATGATGATGATTATAGTAAATAGAATTAAAAGATTGTTTTTGTAATTTTCATGAAAATTAGATATTAATCATGACGAACTTCAATAAAATTGTTTAAGCTTTCCGTTAATTAGCGTTTGCATCAAGAAACCTAAAAGACGAATTTTTATATTAATTAAAGAATTTTCTAGATATGTCTCGAGTGATCAAAGGAATTTTATTCCTATAGGAAATAAAGTCGTCGAATGAATAACACGATCGCAATTACAGTCAGTTCCAGTGTTTATTTTCATCTTTAGTTCCCGATCCCTAAGGCACCATGCAGTGTTGTTGCTGATAAAAACGAGATATATTGTATGTATAAAGTTCCGCAGTAAAAATTTTACGATCCACTTACCGATGATAAAGGCTAAAACCATTTTAGCGACGTGCTTTCGAGCTCTGACTTGTGCAATACCCTGACCTCCTTGCATCTCTCCGGGCATTTCTCTGGCGCTGTCGTGGAGCCGTTTGGCCATCATGACATAAAAACATGTTATGATGCACAACGGTAGCACGTAATAAATAAGGGATTTAGCAACTGTCATGTACATTTGATAACGTTTTCCGTATGTTTTGGGATAGGGCGTGCAAACGTCTATGGTCGAGTTGCCGGTTACCAAGGGCTCTTGTTCGACAGTCGAACTAATGCAATCAGGGAGGGCCAACATCGTGGCAAGAATCCATATCGAAATGGCCGAAAGCACTGTCAGGGGTTTCGTCTGAAACAAAGAAAAAGTTTCCTAGTTTTTGCTGTAACTTACTTCTGATTATATGCCATGCAACTGGAAAAATATTTAGAAAATAATTTAAAAAAAAAATTGGCAGTTATAGGGACTGCCGATAGAAGTGAAAACATAGAACTTTTAGTATTAAAGTTTGAAATTTCACAATCTTTTAATAAATATAATCTACATCAATCTGGTTTTCACATCTATTGACTCTCCGAGTAACAATTATATGCATGTTTATAAGTTTTTTTATTATTGAAATATTTACATAAATTTCAATGTACTTGATTTTTAACAATGTTTGCATCATTGTCATCATTAATTTCAACAATTCTTAGACTTTTTGTACTTTCAATTATTTCAGTGTTCTAAAAGAAAATACAATAGGCTTATCGTAACTAAAGTAAGAAATGAAAACGTTTGATTGAAATTTATCTAAGTATCGCGTAAAAACCGCATCGATCGTCGTAGCTGTATAGCTACAGATATACTGCTACAAGCATGTCGGTGACGCGAACCCATAACATTTTCCCCTGCCAAAAAGTGCCCAACGTCGCTAAAGAAGTTTTCACTTCAAAAATGTTCTTGTTTCAACAATTAATTCAAGCAAAATTAGTTATCATTTCGGAAAGTTCTGTAACTTTCTAGATAATTCTAAAACATTCTCGAACCCTGTAGATGCAAAGCATTAAGGAAAAATTTGTGATATTCTGTAACGTTCTGACTAGATGTCGGCACTCAATTAATACCTTTACTGACTCTCTAATATAAGTTTACGGAGTCTTTTGGGCAATAGTTCTTTTAACCCCCATATCTTTGAAACCAACCCCTGCAGCTAAAAGCCGAAATATTCTTCATAGACGAGGGATGGAAGGCTATCATACCGTATAGCCTTCATGAGGCTGTTAGATTCATTTCATGAGCTTTAGCGGCACGACAGGACAAACTACATTTACTTTCATTACAGGTATAAGCACTAGGTTTAACTCGCGGCTTCGCTCACGTCGATGAGCTAAATACGTGTCAAAGATCATCGACGAACACATAAAGTTAATTTTTCAATCCCTCGGGAACAGTATTTATTTTCAGGATAAAAGGTACCCTATGTCCTTTTCGCTATGCCTGACAATGTGTCCATAAAATTTCAGGATGATCGGTTTAGTAGTTAAGGTGTGAAATCGTAATAAACAAACAAACCCATATTCGGATTTGAGATATTACTAAGAATAGAAAATACCACAAATGGCGCGGAAAACGCCATCTGTAGTACGATGCTACATTTTGGGATTACGTATGCTCCAACAAGGTCCGGATCGCAATTTCGATTTTTTTGGATCTCATCATATTCGATTATGGTAACGTGCCTATCACGTTGAGGTTAGCTACGCCGGGATTCGTTTCAGAAAGTAGATATCCATATAATTAAATGGACCTTGTTGGAGCATACGTAATCCCAAAATGTAGCATCGTACTACAGTTGGCGTTTTCCGCGCCATTTGTGGTATTTTCTAAAACGCGCTGTTAATACAGCAGGTAAAAGTTGGTCTGTGTCTGTCGGAGCTGCCTGCGACGCGCTGATGAGATCCAAAAAGATCGAAATCGCGATCCGCGTCTGGCAGTTTCAACAGAATACAGATTACTTCGAATAATTTTATTCAATTACTAAGAATGTATATTGATTAAAAACGATATTTCTTTGCTGGCCGGCACTCTGTCGATATCGTCATACATATTTCGGGCTTGCTGGTTGCCCTAATTGCGAGTAACAAATCTCTACGGGCTCACAAATACATGGACTTAAAAAATCCGAAGAATTCGATAAACTAGCTATCTGCCGCTGACTTTACTGATTAACAGTAGTTTCTTGGGTATGACTAAAGAATAAATGTTTAGTTTCGTTCTATAGGAATAACTTATTTTTTCCGATCTTCCACTCTACTATATAAAACAAAGAATTGTGTTCTTATAATATATAAAAGTAAACCAAATAAAAGAGTGTCTATTCTTAGTTGGAAACATAAATTTGTAAAAATTGATAAAAATAATAAAAAACGTTTACCGGAATCCGTAAAATTTTATGATAGTACAAAATGGAGTTGATATGTCTGATCAAATCGCCAGAAAATACACAGTAAAAGCTATTTCTCGTAGGTGGCCCCTACAAATATTTTTCAATGTTTTAGATCTGGCTGCTATAAATGCCTGGATTTTGTATAAAGAAACAACAGGAATACAAATAGAGAGAAAAAAGTTCTTGTTTCAATTAACAGAACAGCTTTCCGCCGAATATAGAAATGCAAGATATAAAGAACCTGAAAACCCACAAACATCAAATGCAATCTTCCCTAACAATAATAAGGTAGACTGTGACCCTAAACAACGCAGATTTTATCAAGTACGACATTGTCACAATAACAAAATAATAAATATTTGTGACAAGTGTAAAAGGTATGTATGTGGAAAATGTACGCATGAAAAAATTGCCAGTTTTATTTGCAAAAAATGTGCAGACAATGATTTGTAAAGTTTTTATTGTTTAATATTTACCAATAACATATCATATAGCCGTAAATAATATAAAGGAAGATTAAAAAATATTTTTTTATAATTGTCNGTTATACTTTACAAGACACATAAAGTACGCAAAAATACTTTATTTAAGGCCTTAAGTAAACATCGTAATTTTGTAAGCGATTATTCGAAATTCAGAGTATTTTTACATCAATAATATTGCACAGAAAAATGACAAGCCATATTTACAGAACAACCTGATTTCCCAAATCTGTTCAAAGTAGTGTCAGTTTTGCTGTCCGTTTCGGCCACTTCAGCATTTATAGAAAGAGTATTCTCTATTATAAACGCAAAGTGACGGGACGAGAGGAATAAAGCTTCATTAAAACTAATTAAATATGAACTTTGAGTTTACTTAAATCTTTGTTTGCCTGTTTAGAGGGCTATTAATGTATTTCCCAAATCTGTTCAAAGTAGTGTCACTTTTGCTATCCGTTCCGGCCACTTCAGCATTTACAGAAAGAGTATTCTCTGTTATGAACGCAATGTGGCGGGACGACAGGAATAAAGCTTCATTAAAACTAATTAAAAATGGACTTTTAGTTTACTTAAATCTTTGTTTGCCATGTTTAGAGGCTATTAATGTATTTAAGAGCGACAGCAATTTGTTACTGGCTGCTAGGTGTAACAAAAAATATGTTTTTAAAAACAAAAAATAAAATACTTTATTTTTATGCTGA